TTATTAGTAGCACATTATCAATTTCTATATAAATCTTATTGTACCACCAAAATCATATAACAAAATGATCTACATACTCTCTATCCTTAAAGGTTAGGGTTAGTGTTAGGGTAATGAGTTTTTTATATTATTATCTAAAAATAGAAAATCTCGTGTAACCATGGTGGAAATAGCAACTCCCTAAATTTAAATCAAAATTTATCTAAAATTTTACGGATCCTTGAGCAGAAGCCGCGGCTAAGCCGGCTTACTACAAGCCGATTCTATCCCTAAATATAACATTCTTTGAAGCATCAAGTACAATAATTAGCAATCCTCACGTTCTTCTCTCAGAATAATTATTCGGCCCTCATAAAAGTTGTATAAATATCAGATATGTATATTTTATTGCGTGAAAAAATGAAACAATATTAGTTTAAATATTTCAAATAAAGTATATTAATAAATAATGAGTTAAGTTTTAAATATAATTGTAATCAATGATTTATCAAATTTACTAAATTATTCCTATAAAGTTGCGGGATCTTAATATGTTTTCCGACAATATTTAGGAAAAAGTGATCAGCAAAGCAATACTATTTCTAATTCTTCTAATATATATAAACACAAAATAGTATAGTAAAACATTTGATTATCTTCCTTCAGAAAAATGAACAAAAATGAATAATAATTTTAACAATATATAAAGTCTCTAGTATATTCAATAAAAATAGAACAATATTAAAGCCAACTCAAAAGCCTATAATCCGCTGAACACAATTTAGTTCTGTATGAAGGTATGAGGTCATCCTACATATCGCGCGAGATCACATGATATATGAAATATATACTAGTGCTAAGTATATCTCGCAGTGAGGTCATGATTAAATGTGACCTTTATATTAAAACCGCTACTTATCTGCATAGAGCACACTGAGAGGGTTCCAACCAGGTAGAAATTGATAATCAGTTTTTTTATCAAAAATTTTTCTACCACCAATATCACCAATTTTTTTAGGATTTTGATCTTTTATAAGTTCTTGTTTTTTTACACGATCAATATTCCTAGTTGATGATTTATCCTAAAAAAAAATTAATGAACCGTCAGTTTATGATTTATTGTAATAATTAAAAACAAACAATTAATTACTTACAGAATTTTTGGATGGGAATTTAGATGGAGACGACTGGTTGTACATTTCGAATAAATTTAATCGAATAACTGATCGTTTTTTGATAAAAGTGAAATAGATAATTACTGATTTAGAATTTGGTCTTTAATATAATTTAGTTAAAAACTGTAAGAAAAACTGTAAAAATCAGTTTAAACCCAGAAATTTCTAACCTTTTTATAGAATAACCGAAAATGAATATATATATTATTCAATATGGATTAATGTACAAAACGTATACTAATTTCGGAATTGTTGAATGAATTATGTAAAAGAAAAAGCGATAAAGTACCTTCAATTACCTTCTGACTTTCTTTTTAGAAAGAATGATTATTTGAAAAGGCAAAATTGATCCGGTGACAATAAAGCTTATAAGCTGGGCGGCTAAATGTCAAAATTTGTACTGAAACTATTGTTATTATTTATTAAAATTGATCAGCTGTTTGAGTTGCATGACTTAACTTTACCACGATAACAATTTGATAATATACTTTATTGAGAATAACAAATATAACGTGCGAAAAATCCTTCAAATATGTTTGACACAAATTAAATCCTCCTAAAACTATGACATTATGTAAATGGCTAACAAGAATTTATAAAAGGGAGTCTTTAGTATAATTCACCTTTGTTATTGCTTTTTTAGGAGCTAATAAAAAATGACTCTTGTAGGTAACAATACTTTTCCCACAAATGTACATATGTACATATGTACACAATATTGAAACATTTTTCCTTAGTCATGATAATTATTGGCTCACTAAGTTTTGTAACAGCGTTTACTATTTATATATGATGAAATGTTGATTTGTCATTTACTGCCTTTATTATTTCAATAATATTATTAACCTTAATGTACTATTTTTCAAGTTCCTTCTTTCAACGATATCACAGAAAGAAATTAATATAAGAATCACCAGACCTAAATAGACAATATGTAAACTTTTTTGAAAGAATCAATAGAAAGCCATAATTCGTACGTACGTACAGTACGTACGTATTCTTTTTTTTTAATTCTTGTAAAATTTACTGAGCCACATACAGTCACAAGACATAAGATTTTCCAAAACAAACAATGTATACATCAAATCGGAAACGTGAATCCGACATAGCGGTAAATTACCCACTTAGTGTTTCAACAATAATATTAGCGATATACAGATAACGATAAGTCGGAAACGATAAATATAGTTAGTTCGCAGTATTGAATGGAAAAGAGTACAGTAATAATAGTTATTATACGTAATATCATTATCACTATAATTTATCATAATTTATCATTGTTTATTGTTTAAGTCCGTTAGTGAAGTTTAGAGTTAATGGACTAATAGTTATTTTAGAGGTATTTTAAATACTTTAATTATTTAATACATTTGCATAGATATATTTCACACAGCCATTAGTGTTATAGTGTTAGAAGAATGTATTACGAAGTTACAATCTTTGTTATTAATGCACGAATAACTTTCTTAAAATCGTGGGTGCATATTACGTAACCTTAATTTTCCATGCAATTATGGAAGGTTGCCGGAGTATTCTAATTTACATTAAAGTTGTGTCACGTTAAAAACGGAGTAAAAACATGCTATCATTTCCGGATTACGTAATAACGCTAATTATTACTAATTTTGTTAACAAATTTTGAAAATTTTGATTTTCTTTGAGTCGATCAGGAATGCTTTCATTTGAACTTAATTATTATAATTGAAATGCCATAATTAATAAATTAATAAATTATTGAACCCACTTTCTAAATTTCTGCAATTTTTTCAAAGCCTAAATTTAAGATACAGTACATATCATGTAACCTTAATAAAATTTAAATTCCCCTATATAAATTTCGTATTTACGCATGCTAAAATTAAATTAGGCTGATATGAATTAGAAATTATATGCATAATTTAGGTCAACATTCGAAATTGTTGGCTTTAATAATTTTTCAATTTTTATGACTAATCTGGCTGAATCGTCATTGATCAAGAGCATTATTGACCACTTCATATGATCAATTAATGCAAGCATGACCACTTCATGCTAATGCGAGTCATTGTTCAATCACGATGTGTAACCATATGATCAAACATTCTAATACATATCCCAACGCTGGAGCGTGGGAAAATTTCTAAGTTTCACCTAATAATTATATGTGAGCAAAGACAGCATTTGCTTTTAAAAAATTTATTAACGTTAATACTTAAGAGGATTACATAATTGGTTTAGTTTCGATAACTAAATAAATATTGGTTTAAAAAATTGTATATCAATGATATGCGTATGTACAACATATATACATGATAACTTAAAAGAAACCGAACTGCCGGTTCACTTTTGATAGAACAATAGATGGCGTTAGTTTTTTTTTATCATCAAAGCCTTTAAAAACCAGCCTTCTTCCGATTTTTCCGATTTAAAATTTTTTTTTTAATAATCATTAACTTATTTAGTTAGCCTTCTTTACGCTCGAGCCCAAAAATTGAAGTTAAACTACATACGGAATAGATAATAATATTAGACCAAGAACAGTTAGTGACTAAATATATACTGGGAAAAGCCCTCACTTAAAGGAGTACAAACGTATGTATTAACTTTTACAGTATATATATTAATATTGTAACAAAAGTCTATATAGTGAACATTTTAGGCTATGATCAATGAGAATTTTTTGCAAACAATCAAAATTAAGTCTAATGTAGCTAAATGATCCGGTCATTTGTAGAATGTACCAATAAAAATCATTTATTTTATAAAGAATTTCCCACACTCTCTATTCCGATTCCAAATTGACCCGATTATGCGCCAAATATTGCGTTTAAATGATAAATAAATTTACGGATTTTATCTTGATACGTTTCCTTTGAGAAAAAAAAAACAAAGGGGTTTTTTACAAAAAAACTGAACATTGTAAAGAATTCCTTACAATATGTGATATGCCGGATATGGATAACCTATATCCGGATATCGGGTGATTCTCACGAATATTACCGTTACCGTTACGAGCTTTGTCAAAATAATATTAAAAGCCATTTAATTCAAAATTATTTTCCCAAACTTTTCAAATTTTATAATTTTTTCTTTTAGCGTTGATTAATTTTTAAAACATTCTTTTGAATCTGTTGAAGATTTAATAGCATTCGAAACTATTACATTGTAATAATTTTGATCTATTTTTTTGTAAAAATATCGAGTAATAGATATTCTAAAACTAAAAAAAACAATTTTTTTTTTACTAGAATTAAACGAAAAAATTATATTTGAAAAAAAAAAATACTATCGAGCCTCTAACGATTTTTTATATTAAAAATGCAACTATTTTCCTTACCCAAATTATTCGTGAGTAATTAATAACTATTCACATAAAAAATATCATTAAATGATAAACTACAACTAAACCTTAATTTTTTTTTTTTTATAGACTAGTCCTGATATTGGTGAAATTAAATTTCAAACTTCAAATATTGAAGTTGGAAAAACAAGAGAACTAGTTCAAGACTCTAAAAATTCTATTGAATCTCAAAGTCTTAAAAATATTCAAAATGTCGTCGGTGAGCCCGTTACTCAGGCATATAACCTACCTATCTGTAATGCTCACAATCCTTCTTTTTATGTTACAAATATTTGAAAATGCTTATTTTATATATTGCTTCATGTTATTCCATTTTTATTATTATTTGAACACATCATCTTTGTTATTTTGTATATACATATATGATTAAGTCTAAAAAATTTATAGAGAACGAGTTTGTTTATCACTGATAATACAAGTCCTAGATGGCTTGATTATTATCAATCGACTCTAAAACTTGTCCTTTATAAATTCAAAATGTATAAATTTATTCAAATATTCTCAATAAAGAACTGGTTTCTGTTCTGAGAATGGTTCGTTTTCAAATACTTTTGATATTTCTCCATATTCCTTCGTATAGTAATTGTAAAACTCTAACTAATAACTCAATAACGAATACATTGATATTGATCCTTTAGTACATTGATGATAAGGAAAGATTGAGTATTAAATTAATAGATATAACACGAAAATCTTGTTACAGGAATGTTATTTTATTTTTTTGTGCATACAGAGTAACAGTCTGCTCTTTTTTATCAATCTTGTGAATTCAGATTATTGCCAATAACTTGCTATTACTGTATTATTAAACCTTATTAATTCTAGAGCATTCGTTATAATTTATTAGATTAATGAATCAATAATGTGTGTGTTTAGTTTAGATGCAATTATTTATGGATAATAATGTTATAATGAAGATTATTCTAAAGTATACAAATTCTTGAGTATTTATACATCATATATAAATATAAAACTTCTGTTATAATTGCAATGTTATATCAATATTTTGCGTATTTAATATATTACAAATAAATTGAATAATTCATTACAATTATAATCATTATATAAAATAATTCGTTAGTTTTACATAATTGTATTACTCACGTGAAGAAACCTAGCTAATTATATCACGTGCCGCATTTAATAAAAGAACTATGTATTCAATCTTGATCATAACGGCAGTGTTTTGAACTCAGTCAAACTAGTTCTGGCTACATCCCTGTCTGGGACATTAATGTTTCACAAAATCCATGACTGTTTACCGACACGTTATTTAATAGACAACTCCATTCATCCGCTATCTACAAATCTATGAGTAATAAATTTTTTAATTATGAATGATTGAATTACTCATAATAAGGAATTTCAACTGGATCAATGGGTCGACTTCCTAAGAATATATCGTTACTTGCATTTACTATATTCATTAATTCAAAAATTTTTATAATTAATACATTTCAAATAATTTTTTCTGCTATCTAAAACAAATCATTTAGAATTTTTATAAAAAAAATTTATTATAAAAAAAAAATAAATTTAATTACCTTGATAAGATTCATAATTTTCTTCAAAATATGCTTCCATACTTTTAATATTTAATATATTGAACGATTTATTTAATTCTAATAAAATATTTTCGTCATTTTGCCATTTAAAGAAAGTCTCATAGATTTCTGTTGCGGATGGGCGATTTTTTGGTTCCGCTTCCCAACATTTATTCATTAGATCTATATAGCATTGTGGAGAGCCCTCAATAATTTTTGGTCTTAAATTATCACAGCATATATGTATTATAAGTTGCGTTATAGGTTTTTTATTGTAAGATATTTTGTTTCCATATAAAATTTCCCACATTACTATTCCAAATGAGTAAATGTCTGACGCCGGTGTATATAGCGCTCCATTCAAAACTTCCGGCGCAATATATGGTAAAACTCCATAAACTTGCCTTTTTGCCTTTAATGCTACATTTGTTGATATTGAAAACCCCAAATCTGAAATGTATGCACTATGAAAATCATCCTGTAAAATATTACCGCTGTGTAAATCTCGATGAATAATTCCTTGAGAATGAATTATTTGAAGATCAGAGGCAATACAAATCAATAATGCTAATTTATCTTCCCACTTAATTTTGGCTAAAAGATGAAGATTTTGGCGTAAAGATCCCATTTTTGCATAGTGTAAAACCATAATATTATTTCCTGGGCTATTTTTTGATATTCCATAGCACTTTAAGAACGAAGGATGACTAGAATTAACATCACAGTATGCCTTAAACTTTGAGAGGCCAGAGTAATTGAATCATTAAAACCTAAATGGAAACTATTATAAAATGATATGCATAAAATAAAATTTACCTCTTTAATAATTTCTTGTTCTTCATAATAAACTTTAAGCGCAACAGGCTTTATTTCATCGTGAGTCTTCCACATTCCAAGATATACTTCTGAAAAACCGCCCCTCCCAATTGGGCGTATGATTTCTAATGTACTAAATGGAATCCATGAAAGTGATAATTTTTTTACAAATTTATCAATTCCCAAATGTTCTATGCATTTATCATTACTTTTTGATTTTTTTAGCCATTTGATGGCTTGTTCCTGGTCTTGAGATGTTCCAATGCCATTGCGATAGCATAACCCGACTTGTCTTTGTGCAACATAATTACCATTTTTTGCGGATTTCATATACCATTCGAATGCTTTCTTTTCATCTTTGGTCACACCTATGCCATTTTGGTAACAGATTCCAACGTTAAGCTGTCCGCTAGAGCTATTACTTTCGGCAGACTTTAAATACCAGTCAAATGCTTTGCCATTATCTTTAGAAATTCCAATACCATTCCTATAACAATGACCAAGATTAAGTTGTCCACTATAATTTCCACCTTCTGCAGACTTTAAATACCACAAATAAGCTTTCTCTTCACCTTTAGTAACCCCTATACCATTCTTGTAACATCTTCCAAGATTATATTGCCCCCAGGAATTCCTTCCTTCAGCAGATTTCAGGTACCACTCAAATGCCTTATTCTCATCTTTGGCAGTTCCTATGCCATCCTCATAGCATATTCCAATAATGTTTTGCCCACTGGAGTCTCCTCGATTAGCAGATTCCAAGAACCATTCAAATGCTTTATTGGTGTAAAATTGAGCAATATAATTTCCATTATTTGCTGCATCAACGAACAAAGAATATGCCATTTCTTTATTCTCGTTAGTTCCAATTCCGCCATGATAGAATCTTCCAAGCAAGCATATATATTTTGAATTTACTTTGTTATTAGATAACCAAGTAAAAATAGTGCTTGATGTTTCGTTATTCATAGCAATATATTTATTAATTATTTTATTTGCTTCTTTTTCATTAAAATTTTCATTGTGCAGTTTGGTAAAAATCAAATATAATACGTCTACAAGTCTATTCATTCTTTTCGCTTCATTATTAGGTATAAGGTTTTTATTTTAGATACGTTTAATTTAATTACTTAAGTAAATATTACTATGAAACAAAATTCAAGTTATTTCATGCATACCTTTACGAATATCTACATATTCTTTAACGACATAAACTGTCAGAATTTTATTAAAATTTATTATTATAATCTAACATACCATCTTTATCGTAAATTCTTAAAGATTCGAAGGAGTCCGTTATATCATTCACTTTTTCGAATTCAAAGTCTGTGTTAAATCATTAATTCAATAGCTTATGGTTAACAACTTTAATATTTTTCTATTATGCTATTATATTTATATGTGTATATGTTTGCATACCATTAATATCCGCTGTATTTGAATCTTGCTTTTTTTGCTTGACTGGTTTGTTTTCTTTTAAAATATAAGGTTAATAAAAAAGATTTTATAGATATGATTTGATAACTTATGATTGTGCATGCCACCAATCTTGTGAGCCAGGCTTTTGACAGCTTACAATGAAAAAATTGCGTTTATAGGGATTTGATATACATTGGACTAGAGTTGAGGGTTGCATTTAGGGGGATTGCCTTTCAAGATGCCTGACTATCACTTTCAATTTCTAAAAACTGCAATAAATTTATATGCAGTATTTGATCTTTCTATGACATTTAGTTTATACTTACCATCAATATCAGAAATCTTCGATTTCTCAAGCAAATTTTCAATAAAAACATAGTCTGTAATTTTGAATTGTTTACTTAAAATATACACTTATAATTTAAACAGGCTAAATTAAAATTTATCATTACCTTTATTTTTAAAATCGTCTATCAATATTTTTATTGTAAGTATGAATGAAGTAAGCATCTGGTTACATTGAAATATTGCAGCCAATTCCATCTTCATATTTACCTGATTCATCTTTGGATCCTAAAATAAATATACAAAGTCAATTAAAACCTAGAGCTTGTTTAAATTTATATAGCTGCACGATAATATAGGCCATTACCTTTTGTAAAATTTTCTGGTTGTTGTAGATTTTTAAAACAATGAAGATCACTATTTTGTTTTTTTGAAACTGATGAAGAAGTTTTTTGTTCATCTTTAAGCCAATTTTTCGGGCTGATGAAAATGTTTTTTGTTTATCTTTAAGCCAATTCTTCGGACCTGATAAAATGCTTCTTGTTTTTCTTTAAGCCAATTCTTTGGGCCTGATGAAAGGGTTTTCGGATTATCCTTTAACCAATTTTTTGGGCCTGAAGACAAATATTGTGTGGTAGCTGACCAGTCTTTATTTGGATGTTCATTCCGAATGCGTATATTCGAAATGTTATCATTTACTATATTATCAGTGACTATTTTTGCATTCGTTGCATTCTCTATAACATTAGACAAGTTTTGTTGCAATTTGTATATTTCTTTATAAATTGCTCTGGCATCTGGTCGATTTTCTGGAATAGCATCCCAACATTGTTTCATCAATTTTTCATATTCAGGTGGCGTTCCATAAACTATATCTGGTCGAAGTCCAAATATGATGGCGTTTACAAGAAAAATATCATGTTCTTGATCATAAAATGGAGAAACTCCCGCCGACATCATCCACATTATAATGCCTAAGCTATAGATATCCGACTTTGTGCTGTATTTGTTATTATATAATACTTCGGGAGCAATATATGGGATACAACCATATACATTTTCTGAAGGTTTATTTACTAATCCGCATAAACCCAAATCGCTGATTCTTATTTCATAATCTCCTTGTAGTAATACATTGCCAGGATGTAAATCTTTATGGATCAATCCTTCTTGATGCATTTCATGCAAACATGCTGATATTTTGTAGATAATTTGATATTGATCTTTCCAATTAATTCTTAAATTTTTTTCTTCTAAATGTTCAAGAAATTCACGTATATCGAAGTCCATAACATTTAAAACTAATATAAAATCACCAGTATCTGGTTCTTTAGTTATTCCATAACATCTAACAATATTAGATGAAATTTTGTCATATTTAAGGTGGGATAAAATCTAGAATATTTTTGACAATTTAGTCTTAATCAGTAAAATTAAAATAAAAATGACGATAGTAAATGGTACCTCATTAAACCAACGGATGGCCGTTTGATCGGAGTTTTTTAATCTCTTGAGAATAACATTGTGATTTCGGATTCTTTCTAGAACTTTTCCGTTCCACATATTAAAGGGACCATCGATCCATACAGCATTATAGATATCAGCATAAAAGCCTTTAGTTCTGTATTGTATGTCTTTAAGCCTTTCATAAGGAATGAATTCGATTACTAAATCAGGTCCCATCACATTTTTTTGGGCATCTTGAATTGCCTTGTCAATTTCATCGTTGCCGGTCCATTCACGAAAGTTATGATGTAAATAAATTCTAATGCAAAATTCACAGTATTGAAAAGCGCGAGTAAAATTTTTGCAATCTTCACATTGACGTTCTTCACCCTCTTTATTTTTGACTTTTAATTTATCAAATTTACTTTGAAGCATTTTTAATAAATATTCTTTTTCACGCTCGTTGATATCTTCACTATTAGAGTATCTGGCTTTAAAAAATTCATATTGTTGGTGGCTTGTTTTGTAAATGGTTGTGTCCATTGACCATGCTGTATTACGATGATATTCTTTTAATCTCCTTTCATCCAATACGCCGGAATCGCAATCTCTGATTTAAATTAATTAATAATTATATATGTAGCAATCCTCAGTAACAACCATCATGTCTAATAAATTAATTCATTAATTACCCTTTATCATTGGTTTCTTCGAATTTACTTTCATGCTTATTATGATATTCAAGATATTTTGCTTTAAATAATTCGAATTGTTTTTGGTCTTTTACACAAATGCTTGGGTCCATCGACCTAGTTGTCTTATAATGATCATCTTTTAGTTTCTTTTTATCCAATTCACCGGAATCGTAAACCCTGATTAAATTAAATAATTATACATGAGCAATCTGTAGTACAAACTGTGCCAAATAAATTTAATTCATTAATTACCCTTTATCGCTCGTTTCTTCGAATTTGCTTTCATGCTCAAGATATTTAATATTACCCTGTCTGGCTTTAAAAAATTCGGGTTGTTTTTGGTCTTTTCCGTAAATGTTTGGGTCCATCGACCATGTTGTTTTATAATGAGTCTCTTTTAATTTCTTTTTATCCAACTCACCGGAATCGCACACTCTGATTTAAATTAAATAATTATATGTAGCAACTTTCAGTATAATACAATGTCAAATACATTTGGGGGCTGATACATATACCATTATTCTTGCTATTCGTACCCTAAACTTAATCATCCATTGTATGATGTTGGGGCTCCAAAATTCAAACTCCACTTTGATTAGTAAGAATGCTTACTAGTCGAAAGCAGTGTTTGAATTTCTAAGCCCCGACATCATACGATGTGATAATTAGCAAAAATTACGCATGTGGGCACGAACAATAAAAATAAAAGTAGGAAAAATAATTGCCTAAAATTTAATACATTAATTACCCTTTATCACTGGTTTCCTCGAATTTACTTTCATTAATAGTTGCTTGTATACTATCATGACGATTTTCTGTTAAAGATGTATTCCTGTGATTATATTTATGAGGGATGTTTGTAATAAATTCAACTGTTGTTTCAAACGACAATCTCTCAAGCTCATCTAAGATTTCATTTAATTTTGGACGTTGTTGTGGTTCAGAAGCCCAACATTGCTTATAAAGATTGGAATAATTTAAGGGCGTATTATCGATAGTGTTTTCTCTTTTATTATGCAAAATTTCTAGGATTATAGCCATTTCAAAAATATCATGAAAAGGCGGAATTCCGCTTGTAAGTTCCCAAAATAAAACGCCCAGGCTGTAAATATCAGATTTCATATCTAATTTACTTCCACTTTTAAGATACTGTGGGTCAACATATGCTGGTACACCCATCATAACTGAACTTGAAGTAGTAGTATCATTTAATTGTTTTGATATTCCAAAGTCTGAAATTAAAGCTTTACCATCATTTATTAAAATATTATTGGAATGCTAAGGAATTTATATACGATATATTTAGAATTATGGTTAATCAGAAAATATTCATAACTATTTAACAGAAAATAGAACTTACTAGATCTCGATGAATAATACCATTGTTGTGTAAGTATGTTAATCCGAGAGTAATTTCCTTGGCAATCTTGATAATTTCAGTCCATGAAATTCTATAAATATTGTTTACAAATTTTTTTTTCAAATATTCTCGCAGGCTGCCACCATTAGCAAATTCTAATACCATCATAAAATTGCCCATTTGTGTACCTATAGTTATTAACTATATGTAATTAAGATTACGTTTTTAAGAAGATTTAAAATTTTTTAATAAAACATTTATCGTACATCTTGAAATTCCAAAAAATTTTATGACATTGGGATGATCAACTTCATAATGAAGTTTAAGCTATAAATACGTAGTTATACCATTATAATATAGTAATCATTTTTAATTTTTTAAATATGAAAAAGTTCAATGCTAATAATATTACCTCTCGTTTAACTCTTTTTAATGCTTTTTCATCAAAACTTAGATTATTGTTTAGACTCTTTAATGCATGTTTTTCTTGTTTAAAACTTGCAGAATATACAACTGCACATCCTCCTCGTCCAATAATTTCATGTTCTTTATATTGATTGTAATCAAAACTTTTTACAACATTAAGCAATAATACCAGTCAACTATTCTATACCCTATAAAAAAAGTCGATCCGTGTTTTATATTCCATGTTTTTTCCGTAAATGTTGCATATTCCCGGAATTTATAACCTTAAATCATGGAGATTAGATTTTGTCGATCATGGTGCAGATTCACGGTAAATAAGGGATGGCAAAATTATCATATGTGCAACTTTACTTAGTACATAGCTACCATTTTATTATAAAATTTTGGGCATCTGCTGAATTTTGGTTGCGCAGCATGTCACGTAATAGTGTTTGTGAAATAGCAATAGCTGTTAAGTAAGGCCAGTGATTACGATAGGGTTAGGTGTTTACTGAGTTATATAATAAAATCGCTCAAGAAAAATTTTTTTTTTCAGACAATAAAGATGGTTTCCTATGTATGCAGATTTAAGTAAGCGAAAATATACATGTAATAACATTTTTAATCAAGTGATCAAAAATATATTTAGAGGCGATCATCAATAACTAATGCTACTAACTTTGTTGGTATTCTTTCGGGAAAATGGTTTTCGAAACTTGATTTACTGTTGTATTGAAAGAATGAGCAATACGTATTTATAATGCCTGCAAAAAAATAAGTTAAGGCTGACCTTGCCTAAGACAGCATTTTGAGAAAACAAGTCATAATTCAAAAAATCGACACGTGAGCTGACGAAAGTAACTAGAAGATTCTAGAATGTTTCGAACACTACTTTAGTAAACATAGGATTTTCATGAAGGCGAAACTCAGATATCAAGGATGTATGAAATTTAACAAATGAAAGATGAGATTCAACTTTCATTACAGTATATGCATTTGCTTTTTACACTTTTATTCATGTAAAAGAGTACCTTCAATCTAACGCAATGTGATACACAGTGTATCATGCCATCACGTTCTTGTCAATAATAGACGTGTTTAAATTGACAACTAGAATAATAAAACAACAAGTTTAGCATGTCTAATGTTAAATAAGAATAATCCGAATAAAAATTTAATAAATACGGCTAACTATTTATATACATAAAATAACCATATATTTCAAATATTTAAAACGTAAAAAAATGGGTGGCGAGCGTCACAAATATGTAGATAAAATCCTTGTTTTTTATATGGAATTTCGAATTTTTTAATACTTTCAAAATCACGAGAATTATGAGCAGAAACTCGTATATTTTCTATTTCAAGTTTTTGAGGTGATTTATCATTAGAATTCTATAAAAATAAAGATTAGTTGTACATATAGCTCTTTTTAAGGAATATTATTAATATAAATAATCAAACTAACCAAATATTTAAATAATAATTGCAACATTTTGTCATAAATTTATTAAAATCTTTGATAATTTCGACTTTAATAAAGAGAAATTAATTCATACATCTCAGTACGTGCTTTGAAATAAATATATATGAATTCATAAAATGAAATAATCACCTTTTGATATAATATCTTTTCTTTGATTAGTACTTTATTCGTTCCGGACAAGGTTTTTGTAGGTTATTATCAGGTTGTTGAGCTTGCTTTTAAATATTATTTTCAACATTCTTTTATCAGCAAATTTTGGAAATTTCTATTTGAGTCATCAGATAATTTGTACAAGCAAATTTTCGGAATCGTATCATTTATCAATTTCTATTTCGAATAACACAAACAAAAAAAGGAAATCAAAATTTGTAAATTAAGTGCGTGAAGATAGCAAAGTTAGGATTTTAGGGTTAGAAAGTTAACATTAGAGGCTATAGCGATAGGTTATGCTTATTATATGTAAAATTTCGTTTCCGTTATTTTTAATTAGTGCACCAAAGTCGATTTAAGCATCCTTTTCCTTTTTTTTTCTTCCGCGAAAAAAAGTGGCTCGTCATTATCTATGCCAAGATAGTAGGGTTTCTATAACTATTAACATTTCCGATTTAGTAAAATATTAATTGACACAAAATTAAATAAAAAAGCCTTATTGTTAAAATAGGATTTTGCTCTTTTAGTAATATGTAATACAAAAGTTAAAACAACGATTGCTACACATTTGTGTTCATATAAATATTTCTCTCGTTTATTACAGTATTATATCATCAACCTAATTTATTTTAAAACAGTAGCAAAACAAAACCAATACGGAAAATTGTGTTTCAGGGTTCGGAGTTTTTGATATAATTTTATTAATGGTGTTTTGATAAATATATGTAATCTCCGCTATCTGTAAATAGTCGGAATGAAATTTTGAATCATCCGAAATATAATAATCTTCTTTTTAAAAATATATATGTACGTATTATTAGTTACCATATAAGCGAATAAAATTAATTGAACAATTAGGTTACTTCAATTTTTAATTTTTTTTTATTTTGATTCACCAATCATAAAACTTTTAATTAAAACTGTTTAAACAAAAGTTGCAGTATTACTATATTAATCTAAAAAATATGACCCAGAAATACCATAATAAAAATTTTAAATTACATAATTAAGATGCTTATGATATGTTGTACATAAAATCAATAAGAACTCTAAATTTTCATTAAAAAATTTGATTTAAAAAATGCTCGACTTTAAATATTCCGTTTTTCCGAATATGTTACTGTAATTGCCCAATATATTGATGATAACCGTAGTTTGACTTCTAAGCAAATGTTTTCAGCACGAAATTTTAGGTATATGGGTACACTTAAATATTGAATATAAAGTAAATTAAAATCTGCACTTAAGTTCTTTCGATCGGTTCGGTGATCGACATAACCTGTCTACGTGCAATATTTAACAATATGATAAAAAGATTGTTAAAAGTAACTTAAAAGAATAAAAATATTTTAATTATGTTTTAATTATATTTCAATTATATTTTAATTATATTCTTATTATATAGTAAATATATTTAGCAAAATCAAAGGTTTCTGCAAAGTAATTAATTAAATTATAATGATAAAATTTTATTTCACTCAAATAATCATTATTGTACATAGAAAGTGAACAATCAGATACTTTTTTTTCTTTAATAATTAAATTTTTGCATGATGTTGAAATGATAACAGATATTTCAAAATCTTGACTTGTTTAATCTACATCAGTAAAATAGGTGATACGTTTTTTAAAGTATTTAAAAAGTCTACTGTAGTTGTTCTCAAAATGGAATCTTATTTATTGTCAACTACGTTTAAACTATATATAAGTTACATACACATATGCTTTTATTTCTAAATACATATAATGCTGGGCTTCATTCAGTAAATCTGCCAGTCACGTTTCTTCAGAACCAGTATAGAACTATTTACTTGATAACTGTACTATTTTTCATATCGGCGGATTTGCGGAATTGTATCCTCAAAGCTATCCGCCAAATTTTGTAGCAAACAAATATACGTACATATAAAGATAATTTAAGGGGTAAATAGATACAATAACATTGTAATTATATCTATTTGCCTTAAATTATCTATGTACGCTTGTTTGTTATATACAAACTTTGGGGTTCACTTTGCGGATAACTTTGAGAATCAATTAAGGATCATTTATTTGAAAAAAATAAAATTTATTGTGCTCTTTTATTATCAAAACTGAACTAAGTCCTAACTAAAAAAAAAAAAAAAAGAAAAAAAAATTACATCTTAAAATTTTAAAAACTTAATAATATAGCTTCTTATGAAGCATTTACTAATAATCAAATTTAATCAAAAATTATAAAAACTTTTTTTTGCATTACTCTAATTATTGATTATACAAGCCAAATGAATATTTAATCTGAAATTTTTCTAAATAAAAAATTATTTTTTTGCTTTGACAAGTACTTTAAACAGGCAATAATAATTACAAACGATGATATAAGAAAAAACTGAAAAAATTCTTAGACAGAAGTAGTTTCTTTTATAATTTGTCAAAATAGTTCTCACTCTTTTCGATCGAAGAATTTTGCAGAAATTTGTATATTAATAATTATTTGTAATTGTTAGTTGTTTATTATCATAACATAATAGACAGCATATATGAAATTCACTGATTCACGGATTCATGGAACTCACGGACAAAAAAAATCAGCAAAATCATCAATCCAACTAAATTGAAAAGAACGATAATACTATTATTAAATTGCATCTATTATTTTGCAAGAATTCACAATATGGGTGAGTTAGTAAAAATGCATCATATTTTTTCCATGTAAATTTTTTTAAAACTTTAAACAAAAGTAACTCATCAAAAGTTAAATAAATCTTTTTTTATTAATAAATCAATTCTAAACACTTGTAAAATTTATTTGAAAAAAGAATTTTTACTAAATTGATTAAATTTTGCTAAATTATATTCTGCTAAAAATTACAAAAAGATATGGTGCGTTTCTACTGACTCTTTCCAATATATTATCGAAAGAATTGAAATTACGAAGTTAATTTTTCGTTTCGCATAACATAGCGTTCCGAAATTCAAGTCGGCAGGACAAACTTTTTTTTTAATATACTGTAAACAAATAGATTCATATCTAAGGCCAAGCAAGTTAATTTTTCGTTTTGCATAACATGGAATCAGAAATTTTGGATATTTATTATTTTTATTTTTTTCTACCGGCAATTACGGAAATTAAGGTCTTCATTGACGAATTTATTGAAAAAAAATTAAATAGCAAAAATAGAATGATCGAAACAATTGGAACTTTAAAATTTTTTTTTAAAAAAAATTTGGTCGGCAGGTTATGAAAAACAAAAATTAACTTTGCATGACCTTATACTGTAACTAATTGTTGTTTCTGCCACATTTTTGATGTGAAACCACATGAATAAAATCTACACCCACTGTGACTGGTATAAAATGTAAATGCAAATGCCAAACTAATTTGTTATCTGCAAAATATTAATTGCTTTAATAAAGAATAAACGAATAATAACGATAGCCCATTACATGGATGATAGTATTAAGTAATATAATATGCTACCTTAGAATAAATCTATTATAATGATAATTTATAGCATTTTATTATCTATTTTTCATAGAAAATAAAAATAATATAATTATTATTATGAATTATTAAATAGGTTTGTTATTATATACATACCAGAATTTTCGATATTATCAGAAATATGAAGATCAAGTAAAGAAGAATCTAATAAATA